AGAAAGAAGGGGATCTGGGGTTAGAAATGATGGTGGAATGTTATGGACATTATTATACGAAGTACATGTATGAAGACACGAATTGGTGTGAATATACTTTGTATACAACCAGAGATATGAAAAATTGTGCTCTATATGTGTAATATGAATTACAATGCATTCTGCTGTCATATATAAATTAAAAATAATTTTAAAAGGTATACAAATAAGAAAGGAAAAAGTCAAATTACTTGTTTTTGGAAGATACAAAGGCTTCTAGAAACAATTTAGTAAAATAGCAGGATACAAGATCATCTTATAGAAATCAGTAGTATTTATATATACCAATAACAAATTCCCTGAAAAAGTAACCAGGAAAACAATTCCATTTAAAATAGCTTCAAAAATATTTATGAATAAATCTAACCAAAAAGGTGAAAGACTTCTATAATGAAAATTACAGAACATAAGAAAAAAAAAAGAAATATAAGACTCTAGAAAATAGAAACCCTCCCATTTTCATGGATAGGCAGAACTAATATTGTTAAAATGGTCATATTACCAAAGTAATCTACAGATTTAATGTAATCCACATCCAAACACTAGTGACATTCTTCGAAAAACAAGAAAGAACTAAAATTCATAGAGAGGCACAAAAGGCCCAGAATAGCCAAAGCAATCCTGAGTAAAAAGAGCAATGCTAGAAGCATCACAATACACAATTTCAAAATTATGCTATAGAGTTATAGTAACAAAACAGCATTGTATTGGCATAGAAAGACCATTACATTAATAGAATAGAAGACAGAGAACCCACAGATACAGTCATCTGATACTTGACAAAGGCATGAAAAACTTACATTGGAGAAAAGGTAGACTTTTAAATAAATGGGGTAGAGAAAGGAGATTGAGGAGAGGGAGATGCGGAAGGCCAGTGGAGGTATGGGAATGAAACTGAATGAATTATATCATGTACATGTATGAATGTGTCACAATCCCACTATTATGTAAAATTGTGCAACAAAACAATTTTTTAATTAAAAATTTAAAAAAAATATTTCCCCGGTCAAATAAACTAGGCATCTATGAAAAGTTTTGGCAGACATTTTTCAAATCAGTATAAAAATAAAATACAATGTGTGCACACAAAAGTATAAAACAATGTGGCATATGCATATACTATAAACCATATGCATGTATGCTTAAATATTAATGGAAATTAAACAAAACATTATTAATATGGATTAATTCTAAGAGGATGGATGGTTAGTGAAATGGAAAGACTATTTTAGATTCTACTTGATAAAATTATCTTGTGGGGGGAGAAAGTTAAAAAATCAAGAAGTCCCTGATGAAACATAACACCTTGCGGCAAAATAAAGAACATTACAAAACTATCCTTCTCATGGTGGACATTCAACTTAATCAACCGAGGTCAAATAAACATGGTCACCTGTAAATTTTTGATCCATTTAAGTCAATCACACAATGTTTGTATTTAATTTTATCAGTGAGACTATGACACATTCATACATGCACATGATATAATTCATTCAATTTCATTTCCATACCTCCCCTGGTCTTTCCCATCTCCCTCCCCTGGATCTACTTTCTCTACCCTATTAGTTTCCTTTTTATTATCTCAAGATCTCTTTTATCCTCTTTTCCCCTCTAGATTCCACACGAGAGAAGACATATGACTCTTGTTGAGTCAAACTTTTTTTGTTTGTTCGTTTTTGGCCTAACATGATGCCATCTAGTTATCCATTTTCTTGAAAATGACATAATTTTGTTCTTTTGGGCCTGGTAAGAATTTCATTGTGTGTATATACCCCCATTTTCTATTGTCAATCATATATTGATAGACACCTAGATTGGTTCCATAACTCAACTATTGCAAATTGGACTGCTATGTACATGGGTATGCATATGTCACTATAGTATGCTGACTTTAATTCTTTTGGATAAACACCAAGAGTTGATAACTGGATTATATGTGTCTCCATTCCTAGTCTTTTAATGAATATTTATACGTATTTCCATAGTTGCTGTACTAATACATTTTCTTAAACAATGTATAAGAGTTCCTATTTTCCTGCATCTTCACAAGCACTTGTTATTCATATTTTTGATTGCCATGCTAACTGGAATAACATGAAATCTCAGTGTACTTTTTATTTGCATTTCCCTGATTACTAAAGACATTGAATATTTTTTTACATATATTTGGCAATTTGTTTTTCTTCTTTTGAGAAATGACTGCATAGTTTATTTGCCCACTTATTCATTGGGTTATTTGTTTTTGATAAGTTTTTTGAGTCCTATATATATTCTGGATATTAATCCTCTGTTGGAAGAGTTTATGGGAATGATTTTCTCCCATTCATTCACATTATTATTTCCTTTGCTGAGCATGAAGTTTTGAAATTTTGATATATTACCATATATTAATTCTGACTATTATTTCCTGAGCTTTAGGAGTCCCATTGAGGAAGTCACTGCCTGTGTCTATATGTTGGAGTGTTTCCCCATTTTCCTCTAGTAGATGCGTAGTTTCTGGATGATTCTTGAGTATTAGGTTTATTTTGAATTGACTTTTGTGCAGAATGAGAGATAGTAATCTAGTTTCATTCTACATTTTGTGATTGACTTAAATGGCTCAAAATTTTACAGGTGACCATGTTTATTTGACCTCAATTGATTGAGTGTCCACCTTGAGAAGAATAGTTTGGCAATGTACTTTATTTTTCTACAAGGTATGATGTCCCTGCATACAAATTCAAGAATAGACCATTCTATTTGATAAGGGAACCTACTTAAAGATGCTTCTATGTCTCTGGCCTCTATACTAGTACTTATATTTTCCAATATATTAAGATTCACTAATTAATCAGCTACTATTGAAGATTCTTTTTCATAGTACCATAAAATGCATTTTGAGGGAATTACTATAAAATGGGCTTTTCCAACAAAGTAGATTTAGTGGAAATCCCATGTGATGTTGGAGTTGTAAACATAAACTCATAGTTATCTTATTCCAGATTAGCATAACATAAATGCAGATGGATAGATGTGTTTGTAACTCATAATAGTAGACATCCCTCTATTTTCTAGTTCTGTCAACTGAGAGAACCTAGAAGCAACAAAACTCCAGTGGCACCTAATATATCTAGCACCCAAATCATGTTTTCCCATACCATTCTCCAATAAAATGAAGCAAGGCTCCTTGGAGAAATGGCTGATTTTGGGACAGAGTAGAGAACATATAAGATTAGCCTGGAGCACCTTATAGTGTTATATAAAGATAGGAGCCTGACAAAGAGATACAGCCAACATGAAGGAGCTCACAGTGGCAAATCTGTAACAATTTGAGCAACAAAATATGTAGTATTTATAAAATAGATATCCCTAAATCCACAGCAATTTAAATAAGATTTAGTAAGTAGAGAAAAAAAAGATAACTCTGATGCAGAATCTTAAATGATTTAAATACTCCCTGCTCAAAGGGGTGGAGCTTACTGTCTACCCCCTGATCTGGACAACTTTTAGTGACTTGCTTCCAACTAGTAAGTATGGGAAGGGAGAAAGTGTAATTTTACAGTGGAGAATATTTCCTTAGTTATATGATTGAAGTTAATATCAATAATAAGTTCTGATGATAATATGTATCCTTGATACAATAAGAATGGCATATTACTCTGTAGTCTTCCTCTCAAAACCCCAGAACTCCCAATAAAACCACAATAAAAATATCAAACTCAACTGAGAAACATTATGCAAAATACCAGATGAATACTCCTCGAAATGGGCTACGTTGTCAAGAAAAGGGAAGTCGGAGAAACTTAAAGCCAAGGCGAACATAAGGATTCCTGACAAACATAATGAGTGGCAGAGAGAAGAGCAACTAACCAGACCTTGAAGAACAGACAAGATTAGCATGTTGACCATCAAAAAATCAAGGGGACCTGATGCACTGTGAGCAAGCAGAGAAATGGTCAAGATCAAGACAGAAAGACAGAGGTTCCAGACCCTGGCTGCACAGTAGAATCATATGGGAAGATTTTCAATAATGCTATTCAGAACCTACCCACAAGTGATTGATTTAAGTAGCCAAAACAAACCAGTTATGCATATTCACATGCCTTAGAGCTTGATCTACATAACATAGGGTAAGTATAAAAGCAAGTTGCAAAGATTATAAATAAAATTCTGGTACATAAGATCAAAACAAAAAACAATATACTGTTTTAGGAACACAGACATGTTAAAAACAAATTTAAAGAAAAATTTAAAAAGAACATAGGTACTATGAATACAAAACTTAGCAAATTTAGCATAGCACTTACCTTTTGGGAATGGAGCTAAGGGGTCTTGAGAGATAAGTACAAAGATCTTTCCTAAATGTACAGTTTTGGTCCCACCATTCCATTTAACAACTATTCTTTAAACTACACATATATTATATTCACTTTTTCATATTGCAGAATAGCTCATAGCTCTCTGGTAATTCAGTGATCTTACCCTTGCTGACATGAACCAATTTCAAGAGGAATAATCCTAAACCAACCTAGGGGACAGTGCACTGCATGGGAAGGCATCTGGAATTATTACCAATAATAAAATTGAGTTCCTAGCTTAAAGATTAAACTAAAGTAGAACACGAGAAAAGTTCAAATACAGGAAGGATCATTATGCAAAGGAAGAAATAAGAACTCTTGTTTTCTAAAGTTACAGTAAGTTGAGACCCATAGATTCTGTGATGGGAAGCAGGTTTTGGCTCAACATGAATAATCAGACCTACATAAATGGGATAAAAAAATTTCAAGATTGGATTAACTTTCTCCTTACTGACATTGTTTAAATAGAAGCTAGAAGGCTATGCAGAGAAAATACTTAAAGGAAGATTCCTGCTTTAGAATTAGTCTGGATGATCTTAGAAGTTAGACAATCACACTTGTATCCTAGGCATTTCCTATAAACCCGTGTGTTAAATAGATTAGTAAAACACCAGTTTCACTCACGATTGTACACAGTGGGCTGCAGTAAGAATCCAAACTGGATCGATGATGGCACCTCCACATTGGTGATCACCTAGAAACCTCAAACCCACCTGCCAGGGCCAACAGTGGGGACAGGCTTCTTCCCCCCCTGCAATTCTTCTGGAAAGCCACTGGGGACTAAATGGAGGGATGCCACAGATATCTACAGGAAAGAAGAGGAGACCAATGGCTCATCCCAGACAACAATCATGAACACAACTCCTGCAAAGCCTTGCTATAGCTAACAGCAGTAATTCCCAAATGCCAGATGAGATTTATAAAGTACTTACTCCCAAGACCCATCTCTCAGGAGTCCGAATTTAAAAGCCTGCTTAGCCAACTGTGCCAGGCAGTCAGGATTTTAGACATGAAAGTATTTATTCGTTCATTTAAAACCTAACTATTCAGTGCTTGCTCTGCCAGGCACCGTCTCACTAAGTTGCTTAGGGCCTCAGTAAGTTTTTTAGCTGAGGCTCACTTTGAACTTGTTATCCTCCTGTCTCAGCCTCCCCAGCCACTGGAATTATAGGCATGCACCCTGCACATGGCTCAGGAAATCATTTTAAATAATAAGTTTCTATAGGAGTAGATGAGGACCATGAATTGTTCTCTGTACCTCTTTCTCCCTATATAAACCTTATTTTGTTTTCCCTCTGAGTCTATATGTAAACTCAAACAGGATTCTACAAGTTTCAAGGACTTAAACATAAAACTTGAATTTTTTTTCATTGTGGCATATCAAATGAAAGATGAAGATTCCAAAATAGACATTTAGTTAACAAAGAAGTAGATTAAACAGATAGTAGTATGGCCAACTCACCATATGGAATAGCTTTTCCAGTAAATATAGTATTGGTTTTGAGAAGTGTTGTCAGTCCATTTTTGTTTAAGGAGTCTATAGAGAAAAAAATTTTAATTGAAAGTATTTTGAGTAGCTTCACTAATTGACCTGCCTTGTAACCCTGATCAATCACAAAAACCACTCTGCTGTAGACCTCACTAACACTACCATTTATATGCCAGATGCCAAGTTGCACAGATGTGATTTCTTGCTTATCTCTCAATATCCCTGCATCTGGCTCTTTTAAGCACTTTTTCCTTCCTTTACTCCATGATATTTACTCTTGAAATATTTAAAGTCATCTCTTAATTTTAGTCTTTTTTTCAAAATCTTTTTTCAGCCTGAAAAGATATTCTACAAGGTACTGTCTGTCCATACCCTATTTTTTACTCATCTGTATAAAGATGATTTGTGAATTTATCTCTTCACTATAAATCTCTTCCCTGAATTCTTGACCTAGAATAACTAGATGTCTCCATTAGAATGTCCTACAAAATTCTAAACATCTACATGTCATGAATGGAACTAATTGATTTTAATAGTCAATAGGGCCTTGTTCTTATGTCCCTGCATCATTTAATGGTTCTACCATCCATAGCCACTCGAGCTAGAACCCTGAAAACTCAAGCTGGACTTTTCCTTCTTCATAAATGCTCTCCCCACAACATGTATAGTCAAGCAATACAATTATAAAAATTTCTTGCAATGATTTTCCCACCACTCTTCTTACATGTAAGTTCATCCATCTTCTCAATTTTCCATATTACTCTGGAACCAGGGAGGTTCCAGAGGTTTGAAAAACAGCTCCACCTATTCATAGCTCTTTGGGAAAGTCATTTAACTTCTCTAAGCCTCTGTTCTCTGGTCTGTGCAAGGAGAGCAGTACATATTATCTTTGAAGTTTGTAAGGAGGAATAAATGGGTGATGTGTATGAAATATTGACTATACTTGAGATAAAGAAAGTGATCAATAGATCTTCACTAGATATTTACCACTATGGTACTTATAGTTTAATGCCTTTTCTATAATTCCTTCACAATGTAGTTTTCTTGTAAGTCATCAATTCTCCTTTATTATAGTTTTTGCATAAGATATTCCTTTTTGTCTAGGTAAAGTAAACTTTATCTTCTAAAGTACTGAGAAAACTATTAGTCCTCCAGAAGCTTTTAAAATTTCAAAATAGAGCCAATCTCATTTCTGAATTCCATTTTCTAATCTGAATTCTCTGCTTTTCGCATATGGTGCTTGGCATCTTTTGAAATGTTCTAGTGAACGCAGTTTCATGAGCATTATGGGAGATGCTTGCTAAGGCATAGATTTCTGGGCTCCACCCCAGATCTATAGAATCTAAATCTCTAGGAGTGGACCCAGGACTCTGCATTTTTATTCTTCTATCAAGATGATTCAAGCATCCTACATTTGGATAAACACAGTTAAATTATCTTCCCTATAAGCATAGTTCTTATTACACAGGTGATTATACTTGCCTGAAGGTAAAAAGGTGTTTCTAGCCTTGAATCCTTGGAAATTATTTTCACCATCACTTTTGAAATACACGACCATCATATTACCAAAACTGAATATTGAAATGGATTTCAAGATTCTACAAAGTTTAGTTGTAAAAGTTTTAGGGAAATTTGAATTATAGTTACAAAAAATTTAAAAATCCAAACACAGGAGGCAAAATATTATCCAACTAATGTTTTTAAGTCAGCAACTTTGGTTTTCTCCAACTTTGGCTTGTAGGCATACCCATACTTACAAAGAAAGTTAAAAATTAGTTTTCAAAGTAACAATGTATCATAATTTTTATCTCAAAAAAAATTTTATCTCAAAAAAAAAAAACTATATGGGATGAAGACATCTGATTTCTAATATACACAAAAAACTCAATTATTAATTGGTGAACAATAGGAGCTGAATAAACAATAAAACCACCCAAGCAAATATATTTCTTCTTTCCAACAGGACATGGTCATTCTTTTTTTTTCTAAATTGATTGAAAAAAAAATGACAGCAGAATGTATTACAATTCTTATTACATGTATACAGCACAATTTTTCATATCTCTGGTTGTATATAAAGTATGTTGTCACCAATTTATGTCTCCATACATGTACTTTGGATAATGATGTCCATCACATTCCACCATCCTTGCTAATCCCCTGTCCCCTCCCTTTCCCTCCCACCCCTCTGCCCTATTCTAAAATTCATCTATTCATCCCATGCTCCCCCTCCCTACCCTACTATGAGTCAGCCTCCTTATATCAGAGAAAACATTTGGCATTTGTTTTTTGGGGATTGGCTAACTTCACTTAGCATTATCTTCTGATATGGTCATTCTTTATGTCAGCAGGCAACACCAGAAATCTGCTTTACCCAACCCTCACATCACATGTACTGCTCTGTTGGAGCATAGGATTGTGCTACCAACTCACCTGCTCTTAAAGTCCAAGTAAATATTCTGAGCCCATTTATATTCCTGGACTCTAACTCACTACCACCTGACTGAGGGACAAATAGGATGAAAGTTAATTCTTCATATGAAGTAAATAAAGTTATAACTTAAAGTATATTTGAAGTTGAAGTTGCTAAGAAAATTAAGACCCAAGTGGAAATTACAGTTTTTAGTTACTTTTCTTGGACACAAAAATGAAAATATTTGCAACAGAAGGAATTGATACAAAAAAAAAAGGAAACTTAAAATTTTTACCTTCTGCACGTACCAGAAATTTATTCACCGATACCATTTTCCCTTTTCTCTGAGTAATTCCTTTTCACCTTCCAAATATTCTGAAATATTTTCCACATTTTGTATGTTTCTATTAAAAATCTTTACTAGTGAGTCAGCTGCTGGTTCACAGGTCTTAAAGCTAAAGTTTTCTGGCATGTGAGTTCTGGAGCTTCAAGTGTAAGAAATCCATACTCCCACTCAGTTTCTTGGTACCCAAGGAAGCCAGTCAATGCCAGAGGCACCCTGGTGAGTCTGATGCTTCTCAAATTGAATTTAGAGGATGGAATGTTAACTACCTAACTTGTATTTTTCTTCAGGATCATCATAAATCACAATGGAATCATAAATACAGTTTTGGTTAAATTCAACTTTAAAGTCCTCAAATGTCAACTGTACAAATTATAAACACAACCAGAGAAGTGGTCAAAAAGAAAAAAGTTTAAGAAATTTCTCTTTGCACATTAAAAGGATCTCTGTTATTATCAAAATGTGGCTGATATAGATGCAAACAATTATAGTTTCCTTGGAGGGCAATTTGGCAATGACTACCAGGTTTAAATGCACAAACCCCTGACCCAGCAAGTTCATTTCTGCAAATTACATATATCTGCATGTGTCCAAAGATATTGACACAGGGATATTCATGGCAGCATTGCTGCTATGGACAACAACTGGAAACTCAAACCTCTGCTAATAGGAAACTGATTTATTTAATAAGTCAGGTAACATCACACAATATTTTATGTAGTTTTTAAGAAGAACTCTGTAGGCTCATTTGAAAAGTTCTTTGAGATACTGTTCAGTGAACAAAGCATTGCCAAGTAACTTAGATGCCTATGCTCAGAATACCTCCCCAGAGATGCTGCAATAACATCGATGTTTTACTCCATGTGTAGGACAAGAGTCTGATGAAAAAAGCCTTATTTTGCATTGTATACACTTTTAAACTGCTGCATTTTTAAATTCACATACAGAATCCTTTTAGGGTAAAAAAAAAAGTGGCAAAAAGAAACTTCTAGCCATAATGGTATCTTAACAATCCATATGAAGTAAGTTATGCCTACCTAGCATAATAGCTAAGTTTTCTATGAAGTAGCAATTCCTCAATTGCTTACTTTTATGATGTGTTTCTCTGGAGCATGAATAAACCAATGATACCACACATTATTGGGATACAAGCGAGGATAGTTGGCATACTGAATTGTCCCTTCCTCTACCAATACAGCCACACTCTCACAACCTGAACCTATGCAGATGTAGGGAGAATCCACAGTGAATGGCAAAAGGCACTTCTTATTGTCATCTCCATTTAGAGACAGCAGAGAATGAACACCTGAAATCCTTACCTGTTCCTGAGTTCTGTACAGCAGAAAAGCAAAGTTCAAAGCCACTGCCACTGTTTTCTGCATCAGAAACAAATGTAACTATGGCCTGGTTGGTCTCCATCAGCAAGGGTGAGGGCAACATATCTCCACAGACCTTACCTTGAGAGGAAAAGAAATTGAAATAACATTACTGAAATGTAGTGCAAAGTTATACATGTTTTTTTTCTGGTAATATCTCCCATGAGTTCTTCTTTAATCTTGCCATAATCTCTGCTTCAATGATTCTATTTCACCTATCTTCTGGCTCTCAGTTTCAAGTGAAATTCTATTCGCCCTTTAGGACCTTATTCAAGGTCCAGTTCTTTTATAAACTTTTCCTGGACACTCACTGAAAACCAAGGGACCTTTCCCTGGATCAATTTAGCACATTCTGTATTCTGCAGCTTTTCCTGCTGTGTGGGATACCTTCAGTGACCTCAAGCCATAAGCTTGAGATTGATTCTCTGTATGTTCAGCGTGTGATATCCCGTACATACCCGACTTTAAGCAAGAATGATTGCTAGATAAATAGTAGACTTAAGTATAAAATGATTTAGTCAATAAATATTATAATCCCTAGAAAACTATCTTTTCTATGTCAAAATTTGTGAAGAGACATTTGTTTTGTCATTTATCTCATGGAGATCTAGAGATGAAGGTCTGTATCAGCTGTGGAGACCCTTAATGCTTAACACATTTCAACTAACATAGAGGTCAATTATGTTTCTATAGCTTATAAGAGGAATCTAACAAAATTATGTGGCTGAAATGACCTATTGTGTCTTTAAATTATTAAAGAATTGTACAGTAGAGTTCAAAGTGTGTGTATGTAAACAGATATGCACAAAAATGTTAACAGTAAGAGCCAGGACTGTTGTTCAGTGGTAGAGCATTTGCCCAGCATGTATAAGGCCCTGGGTTCGCTCCCCAGCACCGCCATCTCTTAGTGGTAGGTTTGTGAATGGTTTACATGTTTTCTTTTTGCTCATCTTTATATACCAAATTTACTAAACATATACCCACTTTTGTGATTAAAAATGAAAATATTAACCTTTCCTTGAAATGGAGGTTTTCTGGCAATTGTGATGTCAATTTTATTCAATACTGTTATTAAACTTGAAAAAGGAATGTGATATTTGGTGTCTGATTTAGAAAAACAATGAAGAAAATGATCAGATAATATGCTATTGTTTCTATTCTTACAACCTCCTGCACCCATCCCTTTTAGAAGGGCACAGTATGTAAGATAAAACAATTATCCCAGGTGCAGAAATCTCACATGAGCTATAGCATTTCTCTTTTTTAAAGTACTCTAAAATGATAAATAACATACTAATAATCGCTCCATCACTTGATTGTAAAGATATGTAGTCATGATCACATCCAGCTCGATTTTCTATATCTAGACTTGTAAATTTTATCAGGATAATTTTATCTTCTGGTACCATTATTTTCCAGACACATAAACTGGGGTAAGAGCAGGAAAAAAAAATAAAATTAATGCAAGTTTGAAAATAAGATCTAAGTTTCATGCATTAGTTTACACTTTACCAATAGTAAAATTTAGCAGAATATTAGAATGCAAAAATCAACAAATTCCTTATATGGCAGAAATATGTTTATGACCAAATTGCTAACATTTCTCCAACAAATACATGAGTACTAATTAGAAAAATGGCCAGAAACCAATGTTTAATATTTATTTAGTTAAAAAGTGCTAGAATTTTCATCTATAAACTGAAGAAAACTTCTCATATTTTTCTAGGTCATCATTAGTCTAGTTAAAATTCATAATATTCACCTAGAAGTTGAACTATGGACAATGAATTCTCATGAATTATGGATTAACTGTGCAGCACATGTTACCTCTAACCAGCCAAATCAGGTCATACTAAGTCAGTCCCCAGGGTTGTAATGTCATCTAACTCCCAAATCAGGTCAGATGTGACCTTTCACTAACATCTTTAGAAACATGTCGAAACATTTTCAAAGTAGCCTTACATAATCTATCACATAACACTTCACCTTTATTTTCCTCACATGAATTTATACTATTTAAGAAAAAAATCCCATTGAACCACAAATCTCAACTTCTTCCATATGTCACATTCATCTGAATGCAAAATTATTTGGAATCTAACATGTCAGAATGAACTTCTTTCTGAAGTGTGGCAGTCTTCATCAACAACCTTAGACGTTAATAGCCCACTGCTCTCTAGGTAATAAATGTTCAGGACTGTAGGAGCAATCGAGTTCTTTTATGCCCAATTTCTAAAAGCCAGACACTAATAATTCTTTTTTCCAAACAACCCCCTCTTAACCAGAAACTCTTCAAATTAATCTTTCTATTCAAATCCATCATTCTGAATATAGATATAAAAATAGGTAACCTAAAATAGTATTAAAATCACTTTTTAAGAATTTCCATTTAAAAAGCAATAAGCTACCTAAAATATTATAAAGCTCGCTTATCTAAGCGCTTCAATTGAAAAAGCACTGTGCATCTATCATCCTTTTTGAGACTCATTATACCCCTCTGAGAACAAAGGAGAGAAATTACTCTCCCTATTTCAAATGAGAAAACTGGCATTGATACTAAAAGACTCACTGAATCTCTTATATAATGGGAGCTATAGTTCAAGTGTCATGACTTCAAAGTACCAGTACTTTCTCTTGTTTTCAAATTATTTTTTGCCTCAAAATGTCTTAGATGGAGGCCCAGCGGCCCACCGGCATGGTAGACACATCGCCCCAATTGGAGGAGGAGTACAGCTGCCGCCCACCCATGAAAGGGAGACTTTTCAACTATACAAGAGCAATATAAATATATAGGGGGAAAATTCAATAACACAACAGTTTCACCAAGCAGAAAGAAACACGAGCACTATGAAAAGACAAGGAAAGAAAGGACCACAAGCAATGCAGGTCAACTCAACTTTAGAAGAGGTAATAGCTGCAGCAGATGGAATGTCAGATAAAGAATTCAGGATTTACATGCTTCAGATGATCTGGAGTCTTAAGGAAGACATTAGATAGCAAAATCAGACAATGAAAGATCACTTCGACAATGAGTTACATAAACAAATCCAAGAAGCAAAAGATCAACTATATAGGAAGATAGAGGTTATAAAAAACAAACAAACAGAAATCCTAGAAATGCAGGAAGCAATTAACCAACTTAAAAACTCAAATGAGAATACTACCAGCAGAGTAGAACACTTAGAAGATAGAACATCAGACAATGAAGACAAAGTATTTCAACTTGAAAAGAACATAGACAGCTCAGCGAGACTGTTAAGAAACCATGAGCAGAACATCCAAGAAATTTGGGATAACATAAAGAGACCAAACTTAAAGAGTCATTGGGATACAGGAAGGTATAGAGGTCCAAACCAAAGGAATGAGCAATCTATTCAATGAAATAATACGAGAAAACTTCCCAGACTTGAAGAATGAGACAGAATCCCAAATCCTAGAAGCCTACAGGATGCTGAATGTGCAAATTCATAAGAGATCCACACCTAGACACATTATAATGAAGATGCCCAACATACAGAATAAGGAGAGAATTTTAAAAGCTACAAGAGAAAGGAAGCAGATTACATTTAGGGGTAAACCAATCAGGATAACAGCTGATCTTTCAACACAGACTCTGAAAGCTAGAAGATCCTGGAGCAACATATTTCAAATGCTGAAAGAGAATGGGTTCCAACCAAGAATTGTGTATCCAGCGAAATTAAGCTTCAGGATGGAAGATGAAATTAAAACCTTTCACGATAAACAAATTTTAAAGAATTTGCAGCTAGAAAACCATCTCTTCAAAACATCCTCAGCAAAACATTACAGGAAGAGGAAATAGAAAATAACAATGAAAACCAACAGTGGGAGGTAGTACAGTAAAGGGGAAAAATAATCAAACAGGAAAAACAAACCATGTTAAGTAACATAAATAAACAAATATGGCTAGAAGAACAATCCATATCTCAATAATAACCCTACATGTTAATGGCTTAAACTCACCAATTAAGAGACACAGGCTAGTAGAATGGATCAAAAAAAAAGATCCAACAATATGCTGCCTACAGGAGATGCATTTGATAGGAAAAGACATACATAGACTGAAGGTGAAAGGTTGGGAAAAATCATATCACTCATATGGACTTCGGAAACAAGCAGGAGTGTCCATACTCATATCAAATAAAATAGATTTCAAGCCAAAGTTAATCAAAAGGGATAAAGAGGGACACTACATACTGCTCAAGGGAACCATACACCAACAAGACATAACAATGATAAATATATATGCTCCAAACAATGGTGCAGCTATGTTCATCAAACAAACTCTTCACAAGTTCAAGAGTCTAATAGACCACCATACAATAATTATGGGAGACTTCAACACACCTCTCTCACTACTGGACAGATCTTCCAAACAAAAGTTAAATAAAGAAACTATAGAACTCAATAATACAATTAATAACCTAGACTTAATTGACATATATAGAATATGCCACCCAACATCAAGCAGTTACACTTTTTTCTCAGCAGCACATGGATCCTTCTCAAAAATAGATCATATATTATGTCACAGGAAAATTCTTAGACATTATAAAGGAGTAGAGATAATACCATGCATCTTATCTGAACATAATGGAATGAAACTGGAAATCAACGATAAAAGAAGGAAGGAAAAATCATGCATCACTTGGAGAATGAACAATAGGTTACTGAATGATCAATGGGTTATAGAAGACATCAAGGAGGAAGTTAAAAAATTCTTAGAGATAAATGAAAACACAGACACAACATATCAGAATCTATGGGACACAATGAAAGCAGTTCTAAGAGGAAAATTCATTGCCTGGAGTTCATTCCTTAAAAAAAGAAAAAAACCAACAAATAAATGATCTCACACTTCATCTCAAAATCCTATAAAAAGAAGAGCAAAACAACAGCAAAAGAAGTAGAAGGCAAGAAATAATTGAAATCAGAGCTGAAATTAATGAAATCGAAACAAAAGAAACAATTGAAAAAATTGACAAAACTAAAAGTTGGTTCTTTGAAAAAATAAATAAGATCGACAGACCCTTAGCCATGCTAACGAAGAGAAGAAGAGAGAGAACTCAAATTACTAGCATCCGGGATGAAAAAGGCAATATCACAACAGACACTTCAGAAATACAGAAGATAATTAGAAATTATTTTGAATCCTTATACTCCAATAAAATAGAAGATAGTGAAGGCATCGATAAATTTCTTAAGTCATATGATCTGCCCAGATTGAGTCAGGAGGATATAGATAACCTAAACAGACCAATATCAATCGAGGAAATAGAATAAGCCATCAAAAGACTACCAACCAAGAAAAGCCCAGGACCGGATGGGTATACAGCAGAGTTTTACAAAACCTTTAAAGAAGAACTAATACCAATACTTGTCAAGCTATTCCAGGAAATAGAGAAAGAGGGAGAACTTCCAAATTCATTCTACGAGGCCAACATCACCCTGATTCCTAAACCAGACAAAGACACTTCAAAGAAAGAAAACTACAGACCAATATCTCTAATGAATCTAGATGCAAAAATCCTCAATAAAATTCTGGCGAATCGGATACAAAAACATATCAAAATATCATGCACCATGATCAAGTAGGATTCATCCCTGGGATGCAAGGCTGGTTCAATATAAGGAAATCAATAAATGTTATTCACCACATCAATAGACTTAAAGATAAGAACCATATGATCATCTGGATAGATGCAGAAAAAGCATTCAACAAAGTACAGCATCCCTTCATGTTCAAAACTCTAGAAAAACTAGGGATAACAGGAACATACCTCAATATTGTAAAAGCTATCTATGCTAAGCCTCAGGCTAGCATCATTCTGAACGGAAAAAAAATTGAAGGCATTCCCTCTAAAATCTGGAACAAGACAGGGCTGCCCTCTCTCACCACTTCTGTTCAACATAGTTCTCGAAACAGTGGCCAGAGCAATTAGACAGATGAAAGAAATTAAAGGCATAAAAATAGGAAAAGAAGAACTTAAATTATCACTATTTGCAGTTGACATGATTTTATACCTAGCAGACCCAAAAGGGTCTACAAAGAAACTATTAGAGCTAATAAATGAATTCAGCAAAGTGGCAGGATATAAAATCAACAAGCATAAATCAAAGCATTCCTGTGTATCAGTGACAAATCCTCTGAAATGGAAATGAGGACAACCACTCCATTCACAATATCCTCAAAAAAAAAAAAAAACTTGGGAATCAACCTAACAAAAGAGGTGAAAGACTTATACAATGAAAACTACAGAACCCTAAAGAGAGAAATAGAAGAAGATCTTAGAAGATGGAAAAATATATCCTGTTCATGGATAGGCAGAACCAATATTATCAAAATGGCGATATTACCAAAAGTTCTCTATAGGTTTAATGCAATGCCAATCAAAATCCCAACGGCATTT